ATGTTAGAATCCCCAGCGATTACACTATTTGAGTCTCTCTCTCCTTTTAGAGCTAATAATGTTTGCTTTATATATCTGAGTGCTCTGGTATTGAATGTGTATATATTTACAGTTGTTATATTCTCTTGTTGAATTGGTCCCCTTATTATTATGTAACGTCATTCTTTGTCTAATTTCACAACTTTTGACTTGAAGTCTGTTTTGTCTGATATAAGTACAGCTACTCCTGCTTACCTTTGGTTTTCGTTTGCATAGAATATCTTTTTCCATACCTTTGCTTTCATTCAGTCTATGTGTGTCTGTAGGTCAGGTGAGTTTCTTTTAGGCAGCATATAGTTGAGTCTAGTCTTGTTTTTTGTTGTTGTTTTTTAATCTAGTTATCCAGTCTATGTCTTTTAATGAGTTATTTAATTCACTTACATTCAAGGTTATTATTAATAGGTGAGGACTTATCTTGTCATTTTATTGATTTCTGGTTGTTTTGTATATCCTTTGTTCCTTACTTCGTCTTATTGTTTATTTTTGTGGTTGGGTAGTGTTCTGAAGTGATAAGGCTTGATTTCTTTCTTTCTGGTTTTCCTTGGTATTTTGGCTCCACCCCTGAGTTTTATAGTGTCACATGTTTTTATAATGGCTGTTATGATCTTTTCACTTCCAAGTAGAGTACTCCCTTGAGCATTTCTTATAAGACTGGTCTAGTGGTGATGGATTACCTTTGTTTTTGCTTGTCTGTGAAAGATTTTATTTCTCTTTCATTTCTGGAAGATATCTTTGCTACATGTAATATTCTTGGTTGGCAGATTTTTTTTTTTTTCTTTTAGTGCTTTGAACATAAAATCCTATTCTCTCTTGATTGGTAAGATTTCTGCTGAGAAATCTGCTATTAGTCTAATGGGAATTCCCTCAGAGGTGATTTGATGCTTTTCTCTTGCTGTTTTTGTTGTTGTTGTTATTTGTTTGTTTTTGAGATGGAGTCTTGCTCTGTTGCCCAGGCTGGATTGCAGTGGTGTGGTCTCAGCTCACTGCAACCTCCGCCTCTTGGGTTCAAGTGATTCTCCTGCCTCAGCCTCCTGAGTAGCTGAGATTACAGGCACCTGCCACCACACCCAGCTATTTTTTTGTATTTTTAGTAGAGAGAGAGTTTCACCATGTTGGCCAGGCTGGTCTTGAACTCCTGACATCGTGATCTGCCTGCCTCGGTCTCCCAAAGTACTGGGATTACAGGCATGAGCCACTGCACCCAGTCCTTCTCTTGCCGTTTTTAGAATTCTTTGTCTTTGACTTTTGATAATTTGACTCTAATGTGCCTGAGAGGGGTCCTGTTTGAATGGAATCTATTTGGGATTCTTTTGGCTTCCTGGATCTGGAAGCTCCCAAGACTTGGGAAGTTTTCAGCTACTATTTCATTCAGTGTTTTCTGTACATTTCCCCTTCTTTTGTCTTTCTGGAACACCTACAATGTGAATGTTCACTTAATGGTGTCCCCTGAATTATGTAGGCTTTCTTCATTTCATTTTACTTTTTTCTTTTTCCATTTTTCTGTGTTATTTCACAAGGTCTGTCTTCAAGTTCAAAAATTCAGCCACTCATGGTGGCTCACACCTGTAATCCTAGCTCTTTGGGAGGCCAAGGCAGGCAGATCACTTGAGGTTAGGAGTTTGATACCAACCTGGCTAACATGGTGAAACCCCATCTCTACCAAAAAATACAAAAATTAGCTGGATGTGATGGCACACCCTGGAGGTGGAGGTTGCAATGAGCTGAGGTAATGCCACTGCACTCCAGCCTGGGTGACAGTGAGAACCTGTCTCTAAATAAGTAAGTAAATAAATAAATAAATAAATAAATAAAATTCTGCTTGGTCTATTCTTTTGGTAAAGCTTTTAGCTTGTATTTGTTTATTCATTGAATTATTCTACTCTAGGATACCTGTTTTGTTCTTTTTTATGGTATTTATCTTCTTGTTGAATTTCTTATTCAAGTCATGAATTGTTTTCCTGATTTCATCAAATCGTCTAGCTCTGTTATCTTGTATCTCACTGTAACATTACTATTTTGAATTCTTTTTCTGTCATTTTGTATATTTCTCTATCATTGGGGTCTATTACACAGGAATTATTGTATTCCTTTGGAGGTGTCATGTTTCCTTACTTTTTCATGTTCGATGTATCCCTATGTTGATTTCTATGCATCTGGTGCAATTGTTGCTTCTTCCAATTCTATGCAGTAGGTTTTGCAGGGAAAGAAATATTCATATGAATGGATCTTGGGGTGTTGGTTTAGTGGGATGCATTGGTTTTGTTTCCAGGTGGGCATAGTAGTGTAGTTTTTGTGGAGTTTCTTCAACTGTAATCCATGCTAGTGATGTTTGTGAGTCTCAGTGACCTCAGCTGAGAGGCTTTGTGGTGGTGGTGGCATGACTTTGCCAGGGATGTGCTCACTGCGCTATTTGTCAGGTCAACGATGCATGCATTCACATGGTGGGTTGTTCAACTTGGGGTCTCACTTGCTGGGGTTGGGGTTGGTTCCCTTACTCTGGCTGAGGGCACAGTTGCTTGGTTGCTTGGCCAGTCTGGGAGTATGCCTGCCAGAGGTGGCCTGTTGGACTGTTTCTCAGGTCCGGGACATGGGCACACTGCTGCTCAGCTCTCCTGGGGGGAATGCCTGCTGCGGACAGCCCACAGGGCTATTTTTCAGGCATGAGAAGTGGGCATAAGGCTGCTTGACAGCCCTCTGGGCATGTCTGCCGGGAGTGGCCTGAGGAGTTGCATCTCAGGACTGGAATGTGAACACAGGGCTGCTCAGCTGGCCTAGGGGAGTTGCTGCTGGGGGTGACCTGTGGGCTGTTTTTCAGGCCTGGGATGTGGACATAGGGCTACTTGGCTGGCTTGGGATTATGTCTGCCGGGGCATCCTGCAGGGTTGTTTCTCAGGCCCTGATTGAGGTGTGGAGCCTTTCGGTAGGCTGGGGGCATGTCTGTAGGGGGCTGCACTGCCCGACTGTTTCACAGATCCTGGATGCAGGAGTGTAGTCACTGTGCTAGCCTGTCAGTTGCACAGGGCCTTCTGCTTGCAGGAGGGTATACAGCAGTTTGGTTGGCTCGAGAGTGGGTTTGCCCTGGGTGGGACTGTTTCTGTGGCTGAAAGTGAGGATGGTGGTTTTCCTTCAGTGCAGGACCAGAGTCACAGCCATTCCTGGGACCTGGGGTGTGGAGTTCAGCCACTTGTGTAGGTTTGGTGGCATGAAGATGGAGTCCCAGTGCTGGAAAGGTGCAGTGGCTACTGGCCCCAAGAGGAGGGCACACTCCAGAGGGAGCTGTGGTCTGAAGATGGCGCCATGCTGTAGTAACTTGGCTCATGGGGTGGGTGGGGAGTGGGGTGTACTCCTAATCTGGGGCAGTGCAACTGTACGAATTCCCAGCAGCTCTCCAAACTGGGCTCAGAACTTGCAAGGACTGGGGGATCCTCCTGTAATAGGGACTGTAGGTGTTTGCCGCGGCAGTGGAGGCAGGTGGAAATCTCCTGCTTACCTTTTCCTCACAGGGAGGAGGCCCTCATATGTCCAGGCCTGCCCAATCCTGGTGGAAGAGATGGGGCCACGGAGGCTGGGGGCCTTCATGCTGCCCTTCTAGACTTTCAATCACCACAGGGGCCTCTCCACTTCCCCACTGCAGTCCAGTGCTTTCCCACACTGAAGTCAAATCTTAGCTGTTTATTCATTGCCTTTGATCTTCCGTAAGAAAGTGGGGTGCAGGTGAGCACCAGGTGCCTCTAATCAGCCATCTTGCTGATGTCCCACCCACCCATTTATTCTATGATTTTTCATGAATCTGATGAGAGCTCTAAAGTGAATGTTCATCTCTTCGTTGAAGTGTTCAGAAGGTGGTGTCCTGGACAAGATGATCTTCTCAGCTTGGACAGAATGTGGACAGGCAGGGAGAGGAGAGGAGCTACTTGAGAGGAGGAGAATCCTGAAAACATGGGGACTGAGGTGGAAATCATGTGTTTCCTGATCCTTAGATAGCGAGACCAACTGGTCTGGTGCAGAAAGTGCACATGGATGATTTATTAGAGGGAGTAAGGTTAAGATTGACAAATCAGAATGTGTTTATTCTGTTATGAATGCTACATTAAAGTCACAAAATTGGTATTGAAACCCTGCATGTGTCTGTGAGCAATCAAATACTCCTTTTTTTTTTTTTTTTTTTTTGAGACAGGGTCTTGCTCTGCTACCCAGGCTGCAGTGCAGTGGTGCTATATTGGCTCACTGCAACCTCTGCCTCCCAGTTCAAGCAGTTCTCCTGCCTCAGCCACCCAAGTAGCTGGGAGTACAGACGCCTGCCGCCAAGCCTGGCTAATTTTTTTTGTGTTTATTAGAGACAGGGTTTCGTGTTGGCCAGGGTGGTCTGGAACTCCTGACTTCAGGTGATCTGCCTGCCTCGGCCTCCCAGATTGCTGGGATCACAGGCATGAGCCACTACGCCTGGCTCCAAATACCCTTTAATGGGAAATTATATGGTCTTTTTTTTAAAACAACAACAACAACAACAATAACATTGTAATCTGTAGTCGCAACATTGTATCTGCTTGAGAAATAATATTTGTACCTTTGGGGTCACATAGCCTCCGAGACAAACTTTGTCCTAATAAAAAGGCTACTGTTCAGCCTTCTGTTTTTGAAATTTAAGAACCTCATTTATTACCAACTTCTCTTAGGATTATTAACTCAAACATTTCTTAGAGGATTAGTACAAATATTATGTTCTCTCATCATCTCTATAACAGGCTGTAATTCTGAGGACCAAGCTTGTGCCTCATTCATCCCTGTATCTCTTCCAGCACTGAATACAGTTCCTGGCATAAACTCAGGATGCAATAAATTGTGTTTGAATTGAATTTTCAAAGCATTCAAGGCTGGCCACCTCTGCACTTGGTGGGAGTAATTTGCATTTGAGCTGCATGTTTTGAGATATATCAATATCGTTTAATATTGTTCTCTAGGTCCAGCCTGATGAGTGAAGAGGCTAAGCGAGGAGCACCCAACCCTTGGCTCTTTGAGGAGCCAGAGGAGACCAGAGGCTTGGGTTTTGATGAAATCCGGCAACAGCAGCAGAAAATTATCCAAGGTACCAAATACCCTGAGGAGTGTGGGCTCAGAAACCTTGCCAGAATTTTTTTTTTTTTTTTTTTTTTTTGTGAGACAGAATCTTGCTCTCTCACCCAGGCTGGAGTGCAGTGGCGTGATCTTGGCTCACTGCAACCTCCACCTCTTGGGTTCAAACAATTCTCCTGCCTCAGCCTCCGAAGAAGCTAGAACCACAGGCACGTGCCACCACGCCTGGCTAATTTTTTGTATTTTTTTAGTCGAGACAGGGTTTCACCCTGTTAGCCAGGATGGTCTTGATCTCCTGACCTCATGATCCTCCCGCCTTGGCCTCCCAAAGTGCTAGGATTACAGGCGTGAGCCACTGCGCCCAACCACCAGATTTTTTACTGGAACCTTGATTGTTCCTCATCCCCATTGAAAATTGGAGTGAAAACTGCTGGTCCTTTAAAGCTTTTGGCGTGTGCCTCAGGATACCTGGGGAATAGACAGTTGCTGTCACTCATCTCGGTGGCTCATGGAAGTGGTGACTTTCCACTGGGCAACAGCAGAGACAGCAGATCTGAGTCGAAGTCCGAGTGAATTTGATGCCTATGCTCTGTGCTTTAGCTTCACGACTGGGAATTAGTCTCCAAACTCAAGACTCCATTTTTTGGTGGTTGTTGTTGTTATAAAATATGTCAATTTGGCTTTTCTTTTTTATCTTTTGCCCTGTGGCTTTTTTACTTTTTTTTTTTTTTTTAACTTTCTTATATTTGTAAAATTTCAGAAGTAATGTAATGCATGATTGTTATACAAAGTGTAAACAATATAGGAATGTATAAGATGAAAGCCCTCCATATTGGTTCTCCAATCTCAAACTGGAAACGGATTAATACGTATTTCCTTAGACCTTTTGTATATATTCACATACATATATTCAATATAAATATGCTTACTTTACATAAAAGGAATCATGAGATAGTTAGCTCTCTCCATATATATATAATTCCACACCTTTTTAAAACTTAGTATGTGTCGGCTGGGTGTGGTGGCTCACGCCTGCAATCCCAGCACTTTGGGAGGCCAAGGCGGGTGGATCACCTGAGATCAGGAGTTAGAGACCAGCCTGACCAATATGGTGACACCCAGTCTCTACTAAAAATAAAATAATTAGCCGCGTGTGGTGGCACGCACCTGTAAACTCAGCTACTCAAAAGCCTGAGGCAGGAGAATCACTTGAACCCAGGAGGCAGAGGTTGCAGTGAACTGATAGAGCGTGTCACTGCACTCCAGCCTGGATGACAGAGTGAGACTTCAGCTCAAAGAAGAAAAAAAAAGACTTAGTATGTGTTATGAACTTTATAAAATGTCAGTATGTACAGCTATATTATTCTTTCTAATTCTGCTTTTTAAAATCAGCTTTATTGCCAGGCCTGGTGGCACACACCTGTACTCCTGACACTTTGGGAGGCCAAGGTGACAGGATGGCTTGAATGTAGGAGTTTGACACTAGCCTACGCAACATAGTAAAATCCCATCTTTAAAAAAATTAACAAATAAAAAAGAAGAGGAAGGAGGAGGAGGAGGAGAAAATAAATCTAAAATCAGCTTTATTGATATATAGTTGATGTGATCATAAATGGCCCATGTTTGAAGTATATGATTTGATAAGCTTTGACATGCATATATGCCTGTGAAACCATCACTACAATAAAAATAATGAACCTAATCGTTACTCCCAAAAGTTTTCTTCATGCCTCTTTGTAATTCTTCCTATTGTTCCTCCCCACCATGTTCAGACAACTGCTGAACTGCTTTTTGTCACTATAAATTAGTTTCTATTTTCTATAATTTTATGTAAATAGAACTATACAGTATGTATCTTTTGGGGAAGAAGGGGCTCTGGCTTCTTTGTCTAAGCATAATTATTTTAAGATTCATTGAACTGGTTATGTATATCAGTATTTCACTCTTTTCTTTTTTTTTGAGACACAGTCTGGCTTTGTTGCCTAGGCTGGAGTGCAGTGGTACGATCTTGGCCCACCACAACCTCCACCTCCTGGGTTCAAGCAATTCTCCTGCCTCAGCTTCCCGAGTGGCTGGGATTACAGGCGCCCGCCATCATGCCCATTTAAATTTTTTTGTATTTTTAGTAGAGATGGGGTTTCACCATGTTGGCCAGGCTGGTCTTGAACTCCTGACCTCAAGCGATCCACCCAACTCAGCCTCCCAAAGTGCTGGGATTATAGGTGTGAGCCACCATGCCTGGCCTGCGTTTCACTCTTACATTGTAGATTTGTATTCCATTGTGTGGATTTACCTCAATCTGTGTATCCATTCACCTGTTGATTAATATTTGGGTGGTTTTCAGTTTTTGGCTGTTACAAAGAAAGCTGCTATTTGCATTCATGTATAAGTCTTTGTATGGACATAAATTTGCATTTTTTTCCTGAGGTAAATACCTACAAGTGGAATGACTGAGTCATATAGTTAGCTGTATAACTTTCTAAATTTAAAACAATTTTTAATTTGCAAGTAAAAATTATATGTTTTTTTTTTTTTTTTTTTGAAACGGAGTCTCGCTCTGTCACCCAGGCTGGAGTGCAGTGACCAGATCTCAGTTCACTGCAAGCTCCGCCTCCCAGGTTCACGCCATTCTCCTGCCTCAGCCTCCCGAGTAGCTGGGACTACAGGCGCCCGCCTCCTCTCCTGGCTAGTTTTTTGTATTTTTTAGTAGAGACGGGGTTTCACCGTGTTAGCCAGGATGGTCTTGATCTCCTGACCTCGTGATCCGCCCGTCTCGGCCTCCCAAAGTGCTGGGATTACAGGCTTGAGCCACCGCGCCCGGCCAAATTATATGGTTTGCAACATGTTGCTTCGAATATATATATACATAGTAGAATGGGCAAGTCAATCTAATTAACTTGTGTATTAGCTCACATGCATATTTATTTGTGGTGAGAACACTTCAAATCTACTCTCTTAGCAGTTTTTAAGCATATTAGTCACCCTATTGTACAGTAGATCTTTTGAGCTTATTCTTTCTGTCTAACTGAAATTTTGTATTCTGTGACCCACATCTCCTCATCTCTCCCCCAACCCCCAGGACTTGGTAACCACTCCTCTGCTCTCTGCTTCTCTGAGTTCACCTTTTTCAGATTCCACGTATAAGTGAGATCATGTGGTATTTGTCTGGTTTTCTTTGCCTACAAATCCCAGCAGTGGGACTGCTGGGATCACTTTTAATGTTTTTGAAGAACCTCCATACTGTTTTCCAGAATGGCTGCAGTGAATTTACATCCTCACCAACAGTGTGCAGACATTCCCTTTTCTCCACCTTCTTGCCAGCACTTACCTTTTTTCTTTTTGTGAGCATAGCCATTCTGACAGGTGTGAGGTGATACCTCATCATGTTTTGTTGGTTTTTGTTTGTTTTTGAGACAGTGTCTTGCTGTGTCACCCAGCCTGGAGTGCAGTGGTGTAGTCTCAGCTCACTGCAAGCTCCGCCTCCCAGGTTCACGCATTTATCTTACCTCAGCCTCCCGAGTAGCTGGGACTACAGGCGCCCACTACCACGCCCGGCTGCTTTTTTGTATTTTTAGTAGAGATGGGGTTTCACCGTGTTAGCCAGGATGGTCTCGATCTCCTGACCTTGTGATCCGCCCACCTCGGCCTCCCAAAGTGCTGGGATTACAGGCTTGAGCCACCGCACCCAGCCTGTTTGTTTTTTTGAGACTCTGTTGCCCAGACTGGAGAGCAGTGGCGTGATCCTGGCTTACTGCAACCTCCGTCTCCCAGGTTCAAGCGATTCTCCTGCCTCAGCCTCCCGAGTAGCTGGGATTACAGGCGAGTACCACCATGCCCAGCTAAGTTTTGTATTTTTAGTATAGATGGGGTTTCTCCATGTTGGCCAGGCTGGTCTCAAACTCCTGACCTCAGGTGACCCGCCCACCTTGGCCTCCCATAGTGCTGGGATTACAGGTGTGAGCCGCTGCGTGTATGGGCCTATTTCTGTTGTACTCTGTTCTGTTCTTTTCTGGAAAAAGACAGAGAGTTTATCTTTATACCAGTCTATTTGTTTATCTTTATACCAGTGCCACACTGTATTAATTATTTAACCTTTATGATGAGTCATTAAGTAAGATAGTACAGGTCATCCAGCTTCGTTTATTTTTACAATTTTATTGGATATTCTAGGTCTTTTGCATTTCCATGTGAATTTTAGAATCTCTTTTTAATTTTACAAAAGAAAGCTTCCTGGGCATTTGATTGAGATTGCATTGAATTTTTAGATTAGTTTGAGGAGAATTGATATTTTAACACTATTGAGTCTCAAATTCTCTCAGCAATGCTTTTTTAGTTTTTGCTATACATGTCTTACATATCTTTTATCCTATTTATTCCTAAGTATTTCATATCTTTTTTTTTTTTTTGAGGCAGAGTCTCGCTCTGTCGCCCAGGCTAGAGTGCAGTGGTGAGATCTCGGCTCACTGCAAGCTCTGCCTCCCAGGTTCACGACATTTTCCTGCCTCAGCCTCCCGAGCAGCTGGGACTACAGGTGCCCGCCACCACGCCCGGCTGATTTTTTGTATTCTTTTAGATAGAGACGGGGTTTCACCATGTTAGCCAGGATGGTCTTGATCTCCTGACCTCGTGATCAGCCTGCCTCGGCCTCCCAAAGTGCTGGGATTACAGGCATGAGCCACTGTGCCCGGCCTTCATATCTTTTATTCTAAGTAGCATTTTAAAAAGGTCAATTTCTAATTGTTGCTTGTGTATCAAAATACAACTGATCTTTGTATATTGATCTTGGATCATGCAGCCTTGCCAAACTCACTAATTTCTGAATGGCACTCAGCTCGAGAATCAAAGTGGCCGTTGTGCAGGTCTGCAGAGTGCTCTCTCTGCAGTCCTCTCTGGTCCTGTGCCCTACATCCTCTAACCACCATGGCCTCTTTGGACTTTTCTCAACTCAAGGAAAATGCTGGGCTCCACCTGCATTCTCCCATGCCCACACCATGGCTTGGGAACTCTTGTGAG